TTTAGACAATAATAATCGGATTTACCTCTGCTGCAGTAATAGATATGCATTTTATAACAATTTTCAAGCATGATTCTGTTTGCTGAAGCATAATTCATGGGTTCTGAAATAGATCTCTAGTTCTGCTCCAGAGGAACAATTTCAATCACTGCTAAAAATCAGGAGTATGAATTTTAAAGTAAAATTAAAAATAACTTTACACTGCAAGTTCCTTGTTATAGAAATAAAAAGAACAAATCAATCTTATAGTAAGGCAGTGTTGAAATACGAGTCTAAACACACCTTAAAATGTTACATGTTTGATTTTCAGATTTTTTAAAATCTGAAATGTAAATATAATTAGCCCATAAAATGTGAAACCTTTTTTAAAGTGTAAGTGGTTAAAGGACCTAGAGACATACTTTATGAGCATTTTCTGGTTACATACCAATAATGCCACCTACTGGCATAAGAGAAGATCCAACTTTTCTTTCTGAGTAATTTTTAAAATAAGAGCTTAAATTTCAATACAATATTAATAGCACTGCTTACCTTTTCCCTTGCACCCATCTGAAGCAAATAATTTTTTTCATCCAAATTTCTCCACAAACGAGGGGCAGTATTAGAATTGAATAGTGTTCTATTTAATACTTAAATATCAATGCTCATCTGAATGTGACAATGACCAGAATGTGACAGCTTTCTTCAAAATATAACCTCCAGAAACAGCAAAATTTATCAGTTTCTAAAATTCACTGCCAAATACTAATAGAAAACACAAAGTCATGAGGAAATTTTACTAGTTCAGCCCCTATTAAAAATTCTTTCTGTCCTTCCAAACCATATGTATTTGCTAACTCTCAAAATGAATTAGCCAGCTGGAAACCACCTTCCTGGTTACCAAGTAAAACAAACCTTTCACAGTCATACTGTTTTTTCAGGGCTATATAGAGTGTTACACTCCAGTAATGGATATACACAAGGGAATCAGAAAACATGGGCAAATTTACAGGCAACCTTTTCTGGAGATTGCACAAACACTGGTGGAAACACAAGCTGCCATCTAATTTCTACCACAAATAGGTTGATATCTCTTATTTCACACTAGAGATTGCTTTGAAGAAATAAATTTTTAGAGCACTTTCTAGAAAGGTATTTTATGTGCACGACTAATTTATTCAAAAATGTGTGCATTATTCATTATAAACAGACCTTTGTGGGGTTGTTGTTTGGGTTTTTGGGGCTTGTTGTGTTTTTTGTTTGGGGTTCTTTTACATACTGTTTTCTCCTCTTAAAAGAAATAAAGTCAATCTCTGCTTTAAAACAAAAATCCTCATCGGGAGTTCATGGCTGAGACCAGTCACTCCAAAATGAGCTACTGGAAGCATGTCCCCATTTGCTGAAGTAAAAAGTTTGTCTACACTGGTAACCTGTTTCTGTCAGCAGACATTAATGAACAGTCAGGGAATGAGTGTATGGATAAGACTTGCATACAGGAATTATTTTCTAACATACTTTCTCTCTCTGATTCCAAATTTTTAGGACTTTTTGAGCAAGAGGTTGCTCAGCATAACTGTTCAGCAAGATGGTGATGTCCCTCTTCATTATTCATCTAAGAAACAACGGCAACATAACCCTACCACCAAAAGTCAAGTCTGAAAAGAATTTATCCAGTTACCATATTTCTGCCGGTGCAGATTAAAAATTTACAGCTCATCCACAGCCTATTCTGAAAGCATTGCAACAAAGCTGTTCAGACTGTGACAATTTTTGCATCATAACCTGTTTTAGCCAGAAAAGTCCATCTTTGCTTATCTTTCATTGTCATACACCTACCCCTTAGTCACATACCTTATACACTGCTGACCACGATGTTATAGAACCGTTTCAGTAACAATATCCTGCTCTTTCTCTTCAGCCCTTTCTCTTTTTTGCAAGCATGTCCTTGTGACCCAGCACACAAGTAATTTTTCTCCTCTACCATCCCCCTAAAACCTTTCTTCCTCTGACAGATGAACTCCTCCTCCTTTCACATCTGGCTAGCAACAAAAAGAAACTGAAGCAAGTAATAGATTTCTTGTTGGATTTTCATTTTCAATTCACTGAGCCTCAGAGTTGGACTTTTCCAAAACTATGATGGAATGCACCCTCTGGTACTACTAATCCAATGACTTTGAGTGCTGTAGGAGCATAAGAAGAATGAACTTCAAAAAGTAGCCAGGCTCCTGCATTCTCCCTCATGAGCCTGCCCAATTACTGTTGTCAAGGGCAGCAGATTGGGCTAAACAAACCACTCATCTGACACAGCAGGGAGATTTGATCCCATAACCACTATCAATCATGCAATGTACTCTCAATCTCTTCTTGAGAGTGCCTTGCAACTTCCAGGAAAAACTCCTTTCTTTTAATAAATACAAATCCAAAGGAGAAGATGAAGAAGAAAAAAACAACAACAAAAAAAACCAACAAAAAACCCAAGCAAACAAAAACACCAAAAACATCTTTTAATGATGACCACCAGACAAGAACATAAAGACTTTTTTCCTAACCACCTTCAACTCACCCCAAAAAGTATACCAGATACACTTCTGCTAACCTATGGAAAGCTTACTCTCTGACTGTTCTGGACTGAATCCTCTCCATCGTGTAATTAAGAGAAATTTTGCACAGATTTTAAAAAATAGCAGAAGACAGCACTTTGTTGATCTAATGGCATGCAATGCAGACAATCACTTTTAGAGAGAGTGTAGTACTTTCGTGTGTAGTTGTCAATGTCAACATTTAAAGACTGCACAAAACTCCCTAAAAATTCTAAGTGGCAAAGGAAAAATGTACTACTTTAGTGAATAAATTCTGATACATATTTGAGTACTTTAGAGACAAATATTTGCAAATTTAAGCTCTGATTAAGAATACAGAGCCTGCACATAAAACACAAACAAGCTAGAGACAAAATCCAGAAGCTGATGAAGCCAAGAGAAATAGTTGTTTCTTCTCAATATTAAAAATTAGTTACTGTCTATTAACTTCACAGAACTCCCCTCAAAGCAATGAGATGCAGAAATTGACTGAGGATAGCTCAGTTTGCTGTGTTATACATTGAGAGTAGAGCTCGTCTCTCAAACTGGACAAAGTGTAGGGCAATAATAAACTATTTAATGAACTTATTTACTAATTGAATTTATTTACAAAATTCTATAAGCAATAAAATGCCCTCCAACTTGACCAGTTCTACTTAAAGAGTTATATAATAATGGAATAGTCATATTTCCAGTTCTTGCTGTCTAGACTGCACTGTTTTGACTAGATCTCCACTGACTCTCACAGGGTCTAGACGCCCATGTGGGTGTAAATCGTACCCTCCTAAAGTATCCTGAAAAAAACCCACTTTTACTGCCCACAGGATTAGGACATATGGTACAGCTGTTAAGGATCAGGTACCTACTTGCACACTTCTTTAGCTGTGTTTACAGAAATACACCTCTGCCAGTTAATACGGGTCTTTAGTCAACCCGCAGTGCCCTCTCCACCAAATGCAGAACAAGACAGATTAGTGGGATACCTCCCTTTTGTAAAGTAATGTATATTTTAGACAAGGAAATTTCCAGGACAGTCTAGTGAGATGCCAATAAAATACTTGCTGTACCTAGAGGTGGTGAGAGAAGTTAAAAGGGCTTCCTGAAATTATATATATAATACTAGAGCAGTAATACTAAAGGTGTTCACCTGAACTGGACTACAGGTTAATCTGGGAGTACTGAAGTATTGCAACAATGCTTAAAGCCAGTAGGTTAGTAAACAGTAACGTTTACTTACAGACAGTAAGTAGATGATTGTCCTAATATAAATTTCACCTTACTTCATACAGCCTATCAAAGGATACCATCTGTTACACATAAGAATAAAGCAGACTGTCATTATTTGGAAGCAACAATAAAGGAAAATGGCCATTTCGCCAAAATATATTGTGAGATGCCTATGAACCAAACATGATGTTGCATAGAAAAATTACTGATCTCTCAGTACAAAAATGACTGACACTTCACTTGGGAGTCACATATACTGTTTTAAATATTTATATTCAAGAAAGTTGATGAAAGCAATCAAACAGACTCAAAGGATACAATAAAGAAAACAGAGGACAAAGAGTACATCTGATGAGCAATCTAGGAAACAGTGGCTAGTTGGCCTGACAAACTAGTAAAGACTGTTAAGATACTCAGTTGTTCTTTATAAAGAGTCGGTAAGCACGCTGGAGGAAATTATTAGTTGAATGCATAAACTGACAAGAACATACTTTACTGGAATTAGAAAAGAGTTCTACAGTCTCACTATGGAAACTGCCCTCTGGTAAGAATACATGAAATGTAGTCTTCAAATGTAGCATAATCAGTTTACAGAAGAAGTTACATGACATACCTGCCCAGAACTGCAGGTGGCTGGAACTCGGTGTCACTTCTGGCTTTTTCCCCAACTATGCTAACTGGCAAAGTGCAGCTCCTAACTCCCCAATTTCTCAGTTTTTTAGCTCATGTATCAAATTCAAGTTTAAATTTGTATCTTGTGTTTCATTAATTTACTTAATGACATCACATTACCATACACGCACAGGCATTATCTGCAAGTCCGAAGCAGTTCTGTTCACAATATATTTTGAGATAAGCTTGCAGCAGACTGGATGCACTATCACAGTAACTGTCATAACCCATTTTAAACTTCTACCCTCCAGCTATTTTTTTTCCATTTGCTAAAACACAGTGCCCCAAAGATGTCTCACAACATCCTGGTCTTTATACTTAAACACAAGCTACACTAAGGAGATCACATATGGGACAAACCACCACTGAACTGCACCTGTAGTTTTACAACATTTTAAATCACAGCATATCTACAGTTTGCTTACTGATCATAAAACTTACGAAAAACTTTACAAAAACTGTGCTAAGAAAGCAGTTTAAAGCCAGTAAAAGGCATAACAACTAAAAATCAAGAAATGGAGAGTCTAAGAATTGTGTTCTTACCTTTTCCAGGACTTAGGTTTTGGTCTATAAACACCTTAAGCTCTCCATTGGCTTCAATTAGTCCAGCCTGTTAAAGAAAGCAACTTTTATTAAATTTACAAACACAGATAGCCTTTTATTGGTAAAGGTGAAAGGTATCTTACCAGTAGCCTCTGTTGCTACCACTCTCATTATGTCACAAATCTGCCACTTTGTATTGTTTGGGACATAGTACTTGTAAAATTTTAAGGTCTTGATTTTATAAACACCATATTCTTTAAGAGCAAGCAGAAAATCAGTTCACACTCACTTTGCTATTTGTGTCCTAAGCTCTTACAATGTGTATGCACTGTTTTAACAGCTGAACACCCTTCTAATCAAAACCACTGACACCTGCAACTACACCTTTTTCTCTGTAGATACTACTCACCTAATATATAAGGTAAAAAAATTACAGCAAAAATAGTACAGGTGCTGGAGAGTGCCTGGGCCATTTTAATCATGAAAAATTTAATTAATAAGAAATATCTTGAGCTTTTAAATTATTATTTTTTAAAGATCAGAACGCAAACCTAGTAAGTGAAAAAAGCTGTAAGGTGACATAAGGTTTACAAAGTCATCACCATCCTTTCAGAAACGTCACAGTAGTGATTACTTTTCAAAATACTAATAATTTTTGAATAGAGAACAAGAGGCAATAATTTCTTTGTACCTGCAGATGGAACAGTTTTGAAAAAAATTAATGGAACACAGGACACACTGTTTCCATTTAGAAACAACAGCAAGAAAGTCAATACCTGTACTTAATCACAGTGTAGCATATGGTGTTCCAGAGGCTGAAGAGTCCTGAGTGCATTGTGCACAGTGGCTATGTGCAGGCTACTGACAACTCTGAGCAAGACTCAAGTCATTTAGCAGCAAAGCTTCTCCCTTACAAGTCTACCTGAAGAGCCCTACTTGAGATTTGCCAGAAGTTTGGGAAAACAAGGAAGCCACTAGATGATGCTGTGGAGCCATTATTATCCAGGTGTATCAGACCAAGGATTTCTTACCAAAGACAGGTAACTTTAAGAAATAGGAAACTCTCTCTCCTCAGTGAATGGGGAGAGAAGATTGATGGAGCATAGGGGAATTCCAGCATAGGCTGGAATGCCACAGAAGACAAATTTTGCTATGGGAGGCATAAAGAGCAGAGGCCTGCAATGGCACAGCAGCAACGAGGACCTGGGCACACAGAGAAAACGTAAGTAGCAGACAGCAGAAGTGATGGATAGAATGAAAGCCTGTGGCAGTTCAGTCCTCCATTCCTCCCTCCTAAAAAGTAACACAACAGCGTAATTTTAGGGAGGCTGTAACAACTTTTCAGTTGCTTCAGAACACTGCCTGTCCTCCTTCTTGCCCATGGCAGGGATTTCTAAGACCCACTTGAACAAAGAATGGTTTTACCACACTATTCCCAGGCACCAGAACTCTTTATAAACCTCACTCTTCATCACACTTAACTACGTAATTCAGACAGGTAACAGACTACATCAGAGTCTACAGAGACTACACTTCCAAAGAAAAGGTATACTCACCAATATGAGACCACTACTGTGTACAAAGATGTTATTAGAGCTACAATATGACACCATGACATTCCAGAACGCTGGAACCCCATGGGAAAATATGAAGGAGAATTTTTGGCTAAGTGCTACCTTATACTCCCATTCTACCTAAATTTCACAACAGAAGTGCCAAACCAGGCAGGAAGGAGTCTCATTTTCATAATTTTTTTCAATACAGTACTTAATACTTTGTATTCCACAGCAGAAAGAGGCTTGTACTCAGGACACCTGCAAATTCTTTTTCCATGAGAATAAAAATTATAAATGAGATTGGAAAAGCATTTAATATATTGTGGTTTTGATCAGAAAACCACCAAGAAAATGGCTATTTTAATTTGTAATGCCTTTCTTTAAGCGCATTAATTTAATAATTTTGAATTATTAAATCCATTCATTGGTTTAATATGCAAAAACAAACCTGCATTGAATGCATGTCAGTTACAATGATAGCCCAAAACCAAATATTTAAGGTGTGCTATTCAGCAAATTCAAGCATTAATGCAAATCACTATTTCAGAAATTAGAAAATTAGGCAATTCAGTAATCAACTACTTATTGGTCCCTTTCATTTTCGGTTTTTTTCAAATTAAATGTTTCCAGTAGAATGTTTTCTATTCATTTTAAGTAAACAAACCAACATCATATCATCAAATAATCTCATAAACTTCAAGTCTTCTTCTGCATAATTAAAACATATGGTGAAAAAATATTACCCAAAACAATACACAACTCCAAAAACTGTAATTTAATCTAGCATTACAAAGGCTCAGGTTGATGATATATGCCCTATACCATGCTTTTGTGTGACTGAAATTACGAAAGCCACGGAAAAACTAGAGAACATTTGGGAAAAAACACCACACTTAATCAATAAAAGAAAACAATTTGGGAAAATTCAGAGAATCAATCACTGAACAACAAGAAGAAACCCCTCAGGTACCACAATAGTAATGACCAATACAGAAGTTACAGTTTCACCACCTTTCCACCAGTGTCTTACTAAAGATTCACTTCTAGCAGTTAAAATGGCACACAAATATTCAATTCCTTTGTAAGCACATGCCCAGAAAGACTTCAAGAAAGCTCTCTGGAAAGAATACCATGAATCCCACAGCAAAATAGCACCCCCCAGCTGCTATTACTGATAGTGAAAACTCATTTCTAGAGAGAATTCTGTTATTCCAGCTCCAGTATGCTCTTCATACTTCTGGATACACTTTTAATTCTAAGGTTAGCAAAACCTATCCCTGGTTGAAGAGACAAGTTTTGGTCAAAGAAAATTGAGAAGCAAAACTTCAACCCCATACAGAATTCTGATGTCTTTGTTCTGAAGTGGAAACACTAGACAAAACATCTTTCAGTGTGCATTTTGAGGACATTCTTGCTATTTTTTCAGCTAGGTTATTTTGGAAGAAGCACTAGGATTACTCCTCCAGGACCTACATAGCATAGTGCCTGAAAGAAAGAATGAAAATAAAGGAAAACGTGACTGTAGCTCCCATTCCTGATATTATAATCAGAGATTGACAATGAACAAAAAAAAAAAAAAAAGAAAAGAAACACAAAATACTACCAAAACCAACCAGCCCCCCCCCAAAAAACCCCACACAGGAAAAAGTATTATATTTTCCCCAATGGAAAGGTAGCTTTCTGTCAGGAAGGCTTCAGACATCAAGGAAATTCTATTTTCTGATGAGAAAATACACTTAGTTTTATCAACCTACTTGTAATAAGGTATTTGGATTTTTACTATTTTCCTTTTTATTTTTTTGTATCCCACAGTTTCTTCTTATCTTCTCATGAGTCTCAATCTCATCATGTGTTACATCCTTTCATGTTATCCTGGGGCTGCTTGAAATAATACTGCTCTTAATATCTGATTTTGAAAGCTTATTAAGTGTGTGCAACTTCACAATTCAGCTAAGTTTTCCTCTTCAAAGCCACCTGTTGGCTTTGTCTACTTCTCTACGGCAACAAAAAAACTCCTGAAATCCTAAACAGCAACAGATACAGATACAGCCTTCATCCTTCACACACTGCAACAAAGCTTACAATGGTTTTAAAAAATAGCTTTTGACATCCAACACAGCAGCTAAACTAAAATAACTTAATATCTTCCCACAATCACCAGAAAGGAGGATAAAGTCTACTGGATAAATTAGTAGATCTGGTAATTTGAACTGTGGAGGCTGTGGTGGAGTAGAGATCCCAACCATCACCAAGGTTTGGTCTCAGCCCATTGTTCAGAGCTCCTCAGGAAAAGAAACTGAAGGGCTACACATATAAAAAAATAAACTAACCAGCTTTGGCCTGCTATGAGATCATGGGCAGTCCTAAGGACTGGGAAGTCTATTTCTGTTTTGTTTACAAGTGAAAACTGAAAAGCACTGCAAGTGCCCACAGCCTGAAAATCAGTAAACTAGGAAGTATCTTTTTGTTGATTAACCGAAGTTAATCTGAAACAAAATTTTCTGAAGATGCAGAGAATTTCAGTTATTAAAAAATCTCTAGAGATTATGAGAGAATAATTTAGTATTTTACTAACAAGTTACTATTTGCAGTCTCTGAAGTCACGCACAGAAAATCAACATCCTTACAACAAAAATATAACTTCTTCCACAGCTTTCCAGTCTTGCAATCCAACTTGTTAATAAAAACTGGCATCAAATTACTCACTAAACCTTTAAAATAAACAGGAAAATATGCAAGGTGAATTTGGACTAAAGGACAACCTATAAAAGCAAGAAATTTATCTGACAAAAACCTAGACTGAATGAGTACATGTGCTATGTAAATCAGATTTAACCCGAGAAGCATGTTGCCCCACACTACTTCAAATAAGCATGGGGAAGAGAAGGGTGCTTTTGTGCCACAGAAATACCTCTTCTACCCTGCTTCTAAGTAATGAGCCCATTTTAAGAACACTACCTGAAAAAGTGCTGAAAGAAGAACAAAAAGAATAGAGATATATGGAAACAGAGGTCCCTGCTACAAGGTTGTTTTTCAGAACAAAATTTTCAGTTGTTAACAGCAATTAAGCCCATAGAGCATGGAGGCATAGAACTGGGTTTGACAGAGACACAGGTGACACAAATACGAGAATGGTTAAAGAATGTGAGCCAGAATGGGGCAGTCTGAAAAAGAGACAATTTTAGGATTAGCTGGGAAAGACAAAGAACGAGCTAGAAAATCAGAAGAAAAATGGCAAAATTAGGAGCTGAGGCAGAGAAATAGTGAACCACTGAAAAAGGACAGGCAATACAACTGATGAGAACCTAAGAAAGCTTTATGGAACAATAAGATCAAATCCTGTGAGAAGAAGGGAAAAACATGGGAAGTGGGGAAATGAATACAGCCTAAACTACAACTGAAAGGGGAAATAAGCTGGGACTCAGACAGAGAAGTTCGAAATAAATTAGGAAAGAAGTAGCAACGACAGAATCAGAAAATGGAGGAATTGGGAAAGAAAAGCATTTCCACC